GGGGTGTGGGTGTGTGGGTGTGGGTGTGGGTGTGTGGTGTGGGTGTGGATGTGGTGGTGTGCTTGTGGGTGTGGGTGTAGGTGTGTGGGTGTGGGTTTGATTATTGAAGTGATGAGTAATACCCACACCCACACCCCACACCTACATAATCTTGTGACTAAAGAAAAAAAATCAAAAGAAAATGTTTTTCTAATCATTTTCTTCGTAAAATATAGTGGGTTCCGCCCGTGGGATCCATCGCGTTGAATGTGTTAAAGCAAATGTTTCACTTTGTCCGCTTTTTTAAAGGTTTCTTCACGAAGACTCTCCAAGCTTTAGTTCGAATTTATCTTTAGCGCGGTAGCTATTAGTTTCCACACGCCATTTGCCTTCGAATTGTGCATTATTTTGGTTCCAAGTCAATTTTATAGTTACTGTATGTCCAAAGTTTTCTTTAAGATCACCAGCATCTGGTTGATAACTTTTGTTCAACACTATCTGCTGCTTTTCTACAGAAAATGTTCCACTAATAGTGAACGGACCGACGTCATCATTTCCATGTCCAGTCACTCTACTTGTATACTGATCAAACATGAGTGACATTTTATGAGGCCCATGCCAACGACCATATTGATAATATCGACTCGTCCAATATCCACTTTTGAAATATGCTAGTTCATTCATCGAATGGATTGTTCTATCGCTTCTATGGTCGCTTTGATAGCTGATTTTAGCATTTGACTGTAACTGTCGACGTCGATATCGACGGTAACAGTGAACAGAGAAGAAAATAATCGCAATAAAGGCAAAAATACTACAGATTGTACTGCCAACAATAATTCCCGTTGACTGACAATTCGATCCTACACAACTTCCGTTGACTGTTCTACCTAGAATTCATCCATATACTTTATTGAAACTATTCCTATGTGGATGAAAGATTTACTTATACTCCGAGTTCCACGAATTTGAATTCCACCAGTTCGAGTTCCACCACGAGCGCCTTGACTATAGCTAAGCGTCGTAAAGAGTGCCACAAGTAAGAGAAGGCGAAATATAATATGCATTGTGACGTAAATTGTGTTGTAAGTTTTTAGATATCTACACACTCTTTTATTCTCAGTTGCAACATCGGATTATAGAGAAACAGGATACTTGTTGAAAGAAGATCGAATAAAAAATAGCTGGGCTCGATGAGTAACGGATTCGCACGTCATTCGTAAATAAGAACAGAAAAAGATGTTACTACGATAGATTCTCACAATTTAGTTTTTTTTTTGTTGCTTTTTTTTTCTAATATAACAGGGTATATAGATTCTTCCAGTTCTTCATGTTGTGACGCAGGTGTTTGTAGGAAAAGTATCAAGCAGACATGTTAAGACTTCATCATGTTGATAATATCGTATTTCGTCACTAAAACATTGAGCTTGACTCATATTACCAAAAATGATTATCAGCGTTACAACTTTTACTCTTTTTATCATGCGAAATTCATTTAACCATCTAGCCATTTTCGAGCCTAAAGAGACAAGTTACTGTGAAAATTAGTTGCTTATAAAGAATCAAAAGCAATTAGAGTCATATTCCCTAATAACGACACTAGAATTTTCACTTCTCTTGTTTATCGTGGTAGGCCTCTATTATACATCCGATCGAAAATATTTTTATATATGCAAGATCCTCAGAGTCTGCTCTTTCATATGGTATGATTACGGTATTTCTTCATCGCATAATAATGGAGAAATCAGCGGTCTACCACCAGGGACTTCGAGTGTCGTTATTAGGAGCACTTTCCCTAATAGCGACAGTCAGCCATTTTTTGTCCCTAATAACGACACAACGCTATTGTTGTGCCTAATAACAATACTAAGCTAATTTTTGTCCCTAATAACGACGCGCCATTATAAAATTACCATAGAAAGATTTATTCATAAATGATGTATTTATTCATCGTCTTTATGCAGTATTGAAGATAAGCTTAATTCCAGTTTTATTGATCTCATCAAGGTAAAATTTTCTTAGGAAATTGTAAAAACCATTCACATTTTCCTTAAAATAGATGCCCCACTGAAACATCTTGATTTCTGATTAGTTGAATCATCTAAAATGTACGTTAATATTATAATGCAATTAATTTAGATATAAATTAATTTAATTTTAAAAAAAGGGCTTTTATCGTTTTCAGTCACCTCAATCAATAAATTTTATCTACATTAGAAAATAAATTTTCAACATCTACTCTCTTTGAATGATTTTATTAAATAATTCTATATAAAATAAAATAAATATTATTTTCTAAATGCTAAATGTCTATGGAGTTTTATTAATTGACATTTGTATTATTTCTCTTTCGATATATCATATGAGTTTTTCACA